TGACACCAATGACACATGTCATAAATGACACCAATGACACATCTGCCATAAATGACACTAAAGACACATCTGTCATAAATATGTGTTTGTTGCGAACACATTGCACGCTCTGGACTTCTTGCATTGGATTGCAGATGCGGTTGACGGCATTGTAACCATTTGCCGCACATCACACAATAGGTGTGGTACTGAGTACAATGTGGGCCAACAATAGGCATTGCTATCATTTGCGCCAATCTTGTGCATACCTATACCGATTGACATTGTTTGGCGTAAAAACGGTCGAGTCTAGCTATTGTTGGCCAAAGGATCTGTGTGTCGGCAGTTCACGTACCTGTCACCTTGCCCACTTCCAACTACATTGTTGACACTATTGACACCATGTCCAGGTGGGGTTGGGTTGACATCGGGACATGTCATCACTCGGTGACTTGACACTCCGCAGACACTATTGAGTTCGGTAGAACCCCATTGATTGGTCACTACCACACCCCATGCACGCAAGATGTGTGCTCTGCCCTGCGCCGTAAGGGGCTCGCTGTTGGCACACACCCGCCTGGCGATAGTGGACAATTAAACAGGAATTTTAGTGTTTTAGGTTTATTCTTATTGGATCGTAGTGCTACTAAATAGGACCTACCTAATCTACTGCGTAACCCCTCACAAAAGTAGAGAAGCAACTAATTAAACATTGATGCGCATTCGTCCAATAGAAATCGAGAACGGAAGGACTGATGAGATCAGCGATACAGATAGATTGCCACCACTTCTCACCCAGTGGTGAACCATGTGCTCTGCCTACTAGGGATAATTTTATTTATTTCAAAAATGGCAAGTATGTATGATACAATGTAGTATGGTGTAGGATATGGTAGTGTGTGTTCGAGCGTATATGATTAAGAAATGTGGTGTTATGCCAGGTTTCAACCACACACATAACATCAACCTGACTTAAAATCGATATAACGTTCAAACACTTATCTGTATGTGCTGCGTTGTCCATGTTGAGTCCTTGTGGGTTGAAGAGCGTCATCCTCATTGGGCCTAACATTGTTCATCATCGGTCAATACTACTGGGCTCTCCTCTTTGACGATGTCAGCCATTTCTATATCATTGCCTGTCGTCGAAGAGTCCGTCGTGGAAAGCTGAGCGGATGATTGTGTCGGGGAGACCGTTGGTATCTGAAATCGTCCGGGTTCCGCACGCGCTGATTCTTTGGCGTTTATGTAAACTCCGATGGAAATTACTAGGTTTCAAACTATATTAAACTAAAATACAATTTAGTCAGTTAGGATTTAGCAGTGGTGGCTTGTGTAATATAT